GAAACTTTTTTCTCAAATTTGATTGCGGATTTGAAGACTCCTTACTATGCTTGTTATATGTGTGAAATGTGGTAAAATTCAGTCCAGTAATAAGCGAAATAGCCTTCTGGTGTAAACCCCCCCCCCCTTAAAACTGTTACTGACAAAACGTCTGCCAGTTGTAATCAGATTGATTTATGCAGCAGTTCTGTGCAGGTCTACCCATTTTATCGCACCAGGCTGTCTAGCCGAGACTGTTGCTGGTGGTTGTGAAAGTAATATATAATGGTATAGATTTAAAGCCCTTATCAATACTATTAGGTTGTTTAAGAGGCGGGACTCCAGAGTTTAACGTCCATCTCCAAAAGGACCGATCTAAAGTAGTAAATTTTTGTAAAGTGCCTTTCCTAAGGACACAACGTCGGACCGAGCTGAGGCTCGAACACCAGAACCCGCTGGTGGTTATATTGTAGCCTTAAAGAACAAGCCAGAGGGACAGCACTGAGAAGGCTCTCGTTTTCTGGAGGTACGATGTTGGTCTCTCTTACAACAGGTCCTGGTTTCTAAACCTGACAGCGACAGAATATGTTCTTCTCTAAAAAATGTCTCCTTTCACCACCTCTTATAACGTTCTGTCCTCTGCTTTCGTCTCCCCTTTCTGCCTCCCCTCCCCCGATTTTGCCCTCTCCTCTGGGCTCATGACGCTTTCTGCTACTTTTCTACTGCTTCTTCTTTGCTCCTTCTTTCAGCCTCACCCCTGATCTTAGGGTAGGTAAGATCTAACTCCTAGTCTTCTAGGATAAGAGCGGGAAAATATCAGTGGTTCCGTATGCAAGTTACGCACGAAAAAAAACCCCAACAACTGGCATTTACTTTTATGCCCATAAATGCGATCACTAACACCCCGCCACGTGCCTAGCAGGCGCTTTCATCACAAGTCTGCTGACATTTGGACGTGGAATGAGTTTGTGGGGGTCTTTTTTTTCTCCGTGGTAACCACGCCCAACCTTGTGTATTTATCACTGACCTCGCCGCCGCAGGTAGCGGGTGTAGCAAGTTTGTTATTCCAAGCTGGGTGGCCCAGGGGCGAGATTCCAGTCTATATGCTCAACGCTTGTCAGTGTCAGTATATTATTATACACTTGGCAGCAGTAACGAGCAATGCCCATTTACAACAGACCGTCATTTTTTCCTGAGGGATGTTAGTTTTGGAATGCTGCGCCGTGCCTTGCTTTTTTTTAAAATAATGATCCATTACACTTCATTGATCCCTTTGGGGAAATTTGGATTGCAATGGCAAATATGCATAAATTACGTAAATTGCATATTTGAACATACAAATTATATACATTCAAAGAATACCAGCAAACACATAATATTACTCCAATGCAGACAATTTTACAAGCATGCCATTGCTGGTCGCCACTGTGCAGCGCCCTGTTTTTATTTTGTTGTTGTCCAAACCAATGTGCCAGGATCTGTACAATAAAGATGTAGTCTTATCTTATCTCATCTTATCTCTTCTTCTCTTATTGTTTTGTTTTGTTTGTTGTTTTGTTGTTGTTGTTGTTGTTGTTGTTTTTGTTTTTTGTTGTTTTATGTGTG